AGTCCCTGAGATTTCAGAGGAGCAAGCATTCGGCCATAGCTCAGAGCAGTCACAAGTTCTTTGTTACAAGGCAATCTAGAACTTTCTAACCCCATGGACAGCTGCCACAGGGTTTATTTTGCTTTTCTGACCCATCACCTTTACTCACTTCTGCTGCACTGAGGATGCTTTTGTCCAATGGGCTTCTGTCTCACAGGCACACATCTGCTCCTGTTCCAACTTCTGAACTCTCAGCTCGTTCCATACAGCCCCAGCCCTGCATTATAAACCCTTCACCATCTCATCAGTGCAGTTTCTCACTCACTTCAGGCAGATTCTTACTTACAGGTATAGAAATAGCAGTTTATGATTTTTCTGCTTGATATCTGTGTGTTGTATTTTTACATCAATCCAAGGCTGCAGATCAAACCCTTCTGTGTCTATGGGAGTTTCTGTTTTTTTTTGATTCTCACAGTGTCCCTCCAGGCCTTGTCCCCAGTCCCTCTCCAGCTCTCCTGGAGCCCCTTCAGGCCTTGGAAGGGCTCTGGGCTCTCCCTGGAGCCTTCTCCAGGTGAACACTCCCAGATTTCTCAGCCTGGCTCCATCTCCCTCATGACCTTTGTGATGGTGATGAGGACTTTCTCCAGCAGCTCCATGTCCCTGTCCTGCCCCAGAGCTGGACTTGCTGCTCCAGGTGGGCTCTCCCCAAAGTGGGCCTTGCTCAGACAGCAACCATCTGTGGTTTTAGCACAGTTTAAAACTGTGGATGAAAAAATGCTCCCATACGACCCCTTGGTAGAATCCTTTGTCTATCCACTCATTGACTCTGGTTGGACTTGATGTAGTTTCTGTGTCCTCAAATGAAGGCCAGGCAGGTAATTATGAAATGTGACCCCCTGTGAGGGGAGGGTTTTTATTTAGCTCCCTGTGGAATGTCAGGAGCCACGTTGCATACAACTAATTACAAGCCATAATTCCCCTCTTAATTACCTTTTTTTTTTCCCTTTCTATCTTACCAATTTTTACCCATTTCAGCACTGCATGGGCCAAGGTCACCTTGGGCCCAGGCAAAGCTGAGCCTGTTGCAGGGCTGGCTTTAGCAAAGTTAATACCAGCTCTGGAGGGCCTGGGAACCACTCTGCTGGATTAAACAAACCTGCCTATTTCAGTCTGGCCCTGTCAGGATATAATTTAAAACTTGGAAACCAGAGAAGCAAAATGACCCCTTTTGGTTCTATTTCTTGTGCTGATCTCTATCCTCAAACAGTGGATTTAGACACGGGATACAGCTGAAAATGCATTTCTGTTTCCAAATGAATTAATGCTGCTGCTTTGAGTTCATTTTTACTCTTTTCCTTATCTGTAGATATTTCCCTTTATTTCTATTATATAATTGCTAGAATTTATTTAAAGTTGTGCGTGCTGATCTAACTCATGCATCTCAATCCAATAAAATCATTTATTTTTATAAAGAGGGAGCTGCAAAGACAGATATGTTAGGAGTCTCCATTCCATCAGTTTTCTGCTTTTCAAATGAAATAAGAAATGACTTGGAGTCTTCTCTCCCAGTTCCAGTAGGGAAAAGCTCAGAGCCCTGCAGTGGGATCACAGCCCAGAGGAAAGGGGGATCCAGCAAGAATTAAGATTTTGCTCAGTGACAAATCCTTTGCTTTCAGATTTCAGAATGGGCATCCCACCAAGGTGAACAAATCTTCTCCAAATGTATCTTTGCCACAAGTATTTCAGGAATAGAAATGGGTTATTTTGTAGCTCTATATCATTTTTATTAAATTCCCAACACCACCCCCACGTTCACAGGGGAAATCCGTAATCCCTAAACTGTCCTTTCTTTTCTCTTTCTCACTGAGGATCAATGTGATTTTAAAAGCAAAAAAAAGCAGTACTTATGAAACATGTACTAGTTAAAGTAGTTTTACTGCAGAACTTTTCTGACTCAGAAATAGGCTGCTGCCCCTTCATCTTCTAGTTAATCAAGTGCTGATTTATAATTTTTTTAATCTGCTTAATCAGTGAGAATTCTTGCTTGACCTTGACTTAATGTTTCACTAATTTCCTTCAGAATACTGAGTTTTTTCAAACTCAATTCAGACCAAAACCTCTCAGCTCCAAGCAAGGGAGAAGCAAATTAAGGGGGTGAACTACTTTTCCTGCTTTTTTTAAATACAATTTGATGGAGATTTTGGATGCAAATCTTTTAAATAAGAGGGGAGTTATGGAGATTCCTGTTTCAATTATCCTGAGGTTTGGCCTCTTAGGATATCAGGGAGAAGCTTGTGTGCACTGATAAAATCTTCTCTTAAGCCACAAAAAAAAAAAAAAGTCACATAAAAGGGAAACAGCAAACTACAGTTTTAGGAGAGAAGTAGAAAACTTGAGTGTGTGGAGAAAAGAAACTAGAACCCTAAAAATTTCTTCATTATGGTTTAAATAATGCCACTCTCATCAGGTCCACTTGGCTTCCACAGTGGATAATTTTAAAGGGATCAATGTGGGAATAATTTGTGGCACTAGCATAGAAATGATTTTTGTGGTTCTTAAGGAAGACTTAGAACAAGTGACACTCAAACATTCTGAGCAGGAGGCTCTGTACCCCCACAAGGTGCTTTTTTGATTTTTCTCTGTGGAAAATATAAAGCTGTGCTCTAATATCTATATTTATAGTCATTTCCATTTCACCCTGCGACTCAGGTTTGAAAATATTGATTCTAAGGGGAGGGTATCACAGTGTTCCATGGAATTTAAAATGAACTTCTAGGGAGTTGTGGCAAAAATGTGCAAAAATTTAGGGAAGATTCCACAGCCCCTGCAAGAAAGCCCCCAAAAAAACCCTAACAACAACAACAAAAAAAATCTGAATTAACTTCACAGGAGTATGGACTAAAAAAAAAGAGGAGGAAAAACCAAAGCACAAACCTCAAATGCCCTTTCTGAAAGAGACTCATTTTTTCTTTACCATTAGAAATTTATAATTTCAAGTGTTTCTGTTTGCAGTCACCCTAACACCTGTGCAGTGGGTAATTTTTGCTGTATTTGTGCTTATGCATTCCAGTCAGACTAAGAAAAAATACAGTCTCATCTCCTCGCAGATGGAAAAGAAGGAAATGAGCCATTTGTTTGAAAGAAAAATTGATGGTGAAGCAAGATTCTGAACCTGGGTCTTGTGCACAGCAATGCAGCATCCATAACTGGGCCCATTATTGTGCTCCATGAGAAGAAGTTTCAGCTTTAGGAATTCTCTGAGAGATGATTTTTGTCTTGTAACAGCCTGTTCTATTCTGCAGCTGCTTTTTTAACTTTGCAACTTTACCAACATCCATTGACTGTCAAATAAGTACCACTGTGAACTCATGAATAAACATAGTTGTCATTTCCATATTAAGAGGGCCTTCAGCTGAAAAGAATCCATTTGTGCCACTGCAATATCTTAATTATTTACTGTGTTATATTGTAATTAATTGTGGTTTGCTCTCTCAAAACTCCATATTCTGTAGATCTCACGGGTTTTGGAAGCAATGCACTAATATTGAAGTCATAATCAACACTGCTTCTAAATATTCATGCCAATAAATGACTCCCATGTGTTTGCTGAGTGCCAAGGATAGTCTGAAGCATTTATTTAGCATTCTAGTGGGATCTGGTTTCTGCAGAGTTCACAGAGATGCAGAATTTCAATGCTGTTGCTGAGAAAGCACGTTTGGATTCTCACGAGCAGGACACTTTGGATAGAGCAATGGTATCTCACTCCCAGCCTGGGCTCAATAAAGCCTCAGAGCACTGGGGAGTTCTCAGCTATTTCTCATTTGAACAATTTTGTTTAGTCTATGACAGCCTCCCAATAATTTTGCTTTTTAACAAACATCTCTAATTTTTCAAACAATTTGAAAATCACTGCATTCCAAGGACGGGGGTGCTCTGTCTGTCACAGAGGCTCCACTGGGGCTCTGCTGCAGCAATCACAAATTCAGACACATTTCTCAATAAATCAATTAAACACCAGAATCCTAAAATGATTCTAGCTGCAATTGGCTGACACAAATCTCCAGAAAAGCATCTTGAGTGTATGGGGGAACAGCTGATTTATGGAGCTACTGTTGGAATTTCAAACAAGGAAATGCTGTCGCACAATCCAGTGAGTTTGTTTAATGAAATGTAAGTTAAATGTAAACAGTTTTAAAATATATGTGAGCTGAGTCTTTTGAATCAAGAGTAGCCAGCATATTGCAAACTGTGCTTTCTCCTTGGGAGTGCAGTTTCCAGAGCCTGTGTAGGTGCATTGCCCCTTCCTGCAAGTCTTTGGGCTCCACTGCTCCAGATCCCCTCTCAGAGCTCACCCAAAAATTATTGGGTTTACCTTTGCATGCTTGAGATGAAAAAGAACTGGGGTTTTATAACCAGGGGAAAGGCAGTGTGAAGATTGCACACAGTCGTGATGGTGCTTGAAAATGCAATCCAGATGTCCTGATCCATGCTGGAGTGCAACTGGGATTTCTGTGAGCTCTGTTGCTGGTGTCTTGTTTAGAAAGTTCTCTTAAATACTTGTATATGCATAAATACTTTATCTGTTGTCACAGAGATACTTGACAATACTGTTGACCATATTTTTATTGATATTTCACATTTTTGGCGCTTGACAATCCTTATGTGTCCCTTTCAACTCAGGATATTCTATGCCCTTAATTCTACAACACCACTTCTTCTTTCTTTTAAGATGAAACTTAATTATGCCTTATGAAAAGCTTGAAATACATCTTAAAAATTTGAAATACATCTTAAAAATCTGAAATACATCTTGGATATTGGGAAGGAATTGTTCCCTTGTTCCTTGAGGGTGTGAGGGACAATGGAAGGTGTCCCTGCCCATGGGAACTAAATGGTTCTTAAAACCCCTTCCAGGCCAAGCCTTCCTTGGATTCCATGGTGTGTCCATTTCCCTGGCAGAGCTGGGTGCAGGATGATGGGCTCTGGGTTTGGACTCAGCCAACTCTGTTTTCCTTTTTCAGAACCACCCAGCACTGCTGCAGTTTGTAATTCAAGCTGAAAATAAACGTCTGGTCATCGATCTGGAGAGGAATGAGTAAGTACCCTGCTGCATGGTCACTTTGTACTCTTGGAGGAAGTTATAATTTTAAAATTGATGGTTTAAAATTAACCTGGGGCCAGTTTTGCTACTGGTCCCCTATAAAGAGTCCCCTAACAAGAGAGTTTTGTTCCAGTTTGGATTATGGGTATTTGTGCATTGCTGATAGAGCAAGAATCTCTATAGTTGTGTGCATTTATGTGGGGATGAAAATGGACATGTTGTCTCTCAGGGTTTTCCTGTGTATTTCTTTTGGATTTGTCCTCCTTTCCTGTGGTAAGGCCTTTTATTTATAGTAATCTGGAATATCCTACAGTCTCTGGAATTTTCTGGGGAGGACTCATCCCTCCTAATGCTGTCTGCAGCCATGATCTTCTCTGTGGTCCATCAGGGGTGAAGAGTCAATAATTGGGGATTAAGCCCTGCTGGAATGTTAAATGGAGCTCTCTGGGTTTGCTGGCAAGGGGCTGATGGTGGGATGGTTGTGCTGTTCCTGCAGCCCAGGACCAGTGCTGGGCTTGAGCCTGTGTTTGTGTGCACCTTTTCCCATGTGCTTTTGGCAAATCCTGCTCGTGTTTGTGAGATTTCAGAGGGGGATCGGAGACTGCTGTAGATGTGATCCCATGGGCAGAGCTGTTAAAAACCAAAACCATACAAGAATGAAATCACTGCTCTGGAGGTCCATGACAAATGGAAAAAGTTATCAAATCGTTGTCTACCCTGCAAGTAGACAAGTTCTGTTTTCCTCTGAGAAAATCTCAAGAATATATGGTGGGAATCCAGATCAGGACAACTGTGTGCTGTTTGTCAAAGGCAAACCAAAGATCACTCTAAACCCAGGGAAAACCTTTTATAACAGTTCCCAGGGATCTGTGAGTTCTGCAGGTTCCCCTGCTGGGGAATCAAAGCCACAAAGGTATTTTTTTAGTTTAATAGAGAGAGCGTGGACGTGAGCGATGCAGTTGGATGTGTTAGGAGGAAGGAATGTGCTTGTGAAAGCAAATGTCCAGGGGAGGCTGGGGATGGACAACATCAATGGAAAACCATGGGGCACCTCTTTAGTCCCCTGGAGTAAAACAGTGCAAGATGCTTTTTATTCCCAGTGATTTGGATGAACCCCAACATTACCCAGCTGTGATGAATTCCAGTTCACTTTATTATTCAACACTGAGCCCAGATCTTGAGCTTCCTTTATGTTATTTTTAATGCCCCTTAGCTGTTGGAAACCTGTCCTTGAAGGGTGTGTGGATCCCCCATGCACAGGTTGCTGTGCTCCAGTAAGTAGAGGAGAATTTAATTCCTTTAGTAAACAGGGATTTCACTTTATATTCTCTTAATCTTTGTCGAAGGGTGTGCCTTCCTGCAGGAATGGGAAGTATGCAGCAATTGAGGAAACTATTTACATTCCATGTCAGCGATTAAAAGAACATAAAAACATAAAAAAAACCCATAAAACTGCTAATACAGGCTTTGCTGAACATACCAAACTCTCTTGTACCTGTAATAAAGTCAGATTTAGGAGATTGTAAGATGCAATCTCCACCTCTTTTAGAAGCAGGACAGGAAAATGCAATAAATTACCTCCACAGGCGTCTGTGTGACTGCATGGATTTGGAGATGTTGAGATCTGCTCCTGAAGAAATACATCTATCAATTATTATTTTTCAGTTGGGGTAAAGTGGAATTGTTTTTTAGTTTGGTGGGGTGTCCAGCTGAAGGTTTGCATTCTGGAAGAGCTGTGTGTGGTGTTGACAACACGAGGTTCCTCATCCCAGCAGGAGCTTTGAGGCAATGTTGGGGAATGGAACATCAGCCTTGCCTGGGTTTGGCATTTGTAGCACATGAGGCACTTCACAGATCCCAAACCACAAGGAAAAATTGGTCAGGGTCTTGCAAAATCATTTTGCTCTTTTCTGACTTTGATTTTCCTAAGAGATTATGGCTTGGGTGTTGCAAGTCCATGCAGAAGTTTTCTCAGCGTGTGCATGTGTAGGTCAGTTTTTGTTTCTGTAAATCACACCAGGCACTGCTCTGCAGGACTGGGCTGTGCTTCCCAGGGAAAACAGTGCCAAGCTCTTTGTGCTTGTCTGTGGAAGTTGTGGTTGTGTTTCTTCTGTTTGTAGTGCTGGTGTTGGGTTTGCTGTCACTGGCACAGGAGGTGACGGGGCAGGAGCATCCTGCTGCTTCCAGGGACTCTGCAGGGGCATGGAGTGGGAAATAATGCCCAGGAGAGAAATGAGAGCCTGCATTTCTGCAGAGCAAACCTCTGATGGCAGCAGGCCAGGCTGGCCCTGTGGGTTGTGGACTCCAGAGGTGGGAAAAGCTCATCAAAAACCTGGGGAAGGGAGCAGCATTCCCATCCCTGTGTGCTGGGAATCTCCAAGGATGCAGATGAGCCCCTGCTCCCTCTCTCTGATATTGGTGTGGAACATGGAGCTCAGATGCAAGCATTGAGCCATTACTCACCTGCTGCAGGTAGGAATGGAGAGGGAAACACAGACACCTTGTCTGGAGTAGAAAGTGGCAGCACAGGAAGCTCTGAGATGTGTGCTGTTATCTTTCTGTGGTTTCGTGTAAGCATTGGAGAATGGTGGGGGTGGAGGTGCATGGGACCCCTAAATTACATAATTTCTGCATTGGGTCATGCAAAAAAAACCTGGATGTGATTTTCCATGATTGGGAGGAACAGCTGCTTTGAGTAGTCTTGACATTAAACTCCATTTATTGAAAACCTTAGAGATTTTCCAAACCTTGAGTTAAGTTTCAAAACACGATTCAGATGCATTAGACAACCCCAAGTGGGGAGCAGCGTGTGAAACCATCTGTTATCTGTGGAAATACTGAATGTCAGTTTGGTGTTTTCTGCTATTTAGACCCATCAAAATGTGTTCATATGTACTGGGCAAGATGTTCTGAGTGACTTCTGGAAGAGTTACTGGCACCTGACTTGGCAGCCTAGGGTTTGAAATCTCGATGGCGAAATCTCGATGGCTTGCAGCTGTTGAGATTACTTCTGTGGATATTCATTAAATACTTTGGTGATTAATTTCCAGGCACTGCCCATTTGTAATTGCAACCCCAAAATTATTTTGTGCTGGATTCGATTTGTCACAGGCAGAAAACCTGCGAGCGAGCTCACGTTGCAAGTACATTCCTTACCATGATTTAGCTGCAAAAGATGATTACACTCTTGAGAACTTTCAGCTCTGTAGTACCTTAAATGTTTTAGAAACACTTGTCATATGGAGAGATTTCCAGAATCAGCAAAGCATCCATCAGCTGCAAAATAAACCACTTTTTGGAGCAGCTGGCCGGGCTGGGGTGCATTACATGTGTAATACTGATGCTCTGCTGGTGTGCAAGGGACAGTAATGTATGCACTCAGAAATCCCTTGGAAGTTGATTGCAGCATGTGGGTCTTAGAGGGAAGCAGTTCACGGCTGTGTCAGGGAAACAGAGCCCCTGTAAGATTAAATCTGAGCTGGAGAGTGGAACAGTCTGTGGCTACTGGCTGTTTGTGTGTGACTGGAAACGTTTTGCACTCTGTCAGGGCTAGGTCTGTACGCAGCAAAGCTCCTCAGTGTTCTTTTAACTTTAAACATGTGAGTGACCCAGGTGAAGTCAGAGGAGTTACTGATTTTCAAAGCTAATTTCATGCTTACATGATCTGCTGACAAAGGTCATAATTATGAATGTCAGAGCAATGTAACTGTGAACAGATGCTGGGGAACTTTCCCAGTGCTGACTCCTGTGGGTACCTGAGGCTGGAGATGTCACAGAAGGATAAAAAGCTGAGATAAGTTGAGGGCATATGAGGGTGAGGATGGAGGGAGGACATCAACAACACCCCAGGTGTGTCCTGGACAGTTTCCTTCTGCCAGGATTTCATTGTCCAGCTTTGCAGAGGGGGCAGTGAGGGTGACATCAGTGTGTTTGTGGCTGCTGGGCCACTGGCAGCGTCCATTGGAATGTGGCAATGGAAAGAAAAAGCTGGAATGTTTTAGAGGAGCTGAGTTCACTCTTCATTTCCCCATCATTTTATGCTCCTTTTTGTCAGGTTTATAGCCCAGCCTTAACAAAGCAATATAAAAAAGGCAATATATGAGGTTACATTGCTGCCTTTTATTCCCTCTGTAAAAATTCTTCTACTTTATCAGGAGACAAAATCCAACTCAGGCCATGGTATAAGCCTCCATCTTATCCTACAAATCCCTTAAGGTCCCAGAGGACTCCAGAGGTTTAGGTCATCTCTGATTGTCCCCCCTGCACATTTTCCACATCTTCACGGAGGCCCAGCACCCAGGATGGGTTGGGATGTGTTGGAGGTCACTCTGAAAGCTTTTCCCTAGGATTGAGAAGGTTCCAGCAGAATTCCCTGGAAATCAGGCAGTAACCATCTTCATGCACAGTCCTGCCATGACCAGCTCCAGTGAGGCCTCAGAGTTCAGCAATGTTTTGTTTTCTCTTTTTGGTTAAAAGAAAAGAAGTCATTGTCTCCACTTTTGTGCCCGACCTCCCTGAATGGGAGCACTGATTGGTGTGCAAGTGACATTGGAGCTGAATTAATTTAGCAGGGAAACAACCCATTCCCAGTGCCAAAGGAAAGAGCTGACAGGATTTGTTAATGAACTGACAGGCTTCTACAGAATCAATGGCTGGAAATACAGAGAGAGAAACACATCTAAACAAACCAACCCCAAACAGAGAGCTGGGACCTGTCAGAATATTCTTGCTATTATAATTCTTTGCTGTGTCTTAGCCAAAAAACTGTGACCTCAGCCTGGTTTATCTGCAAGTGCTGGAGCTGGCAGCTGTACTGCAGCATTTCGGCCTCGGCTGACAGTTGGGATTTCACCAGAATTGAAGTAAAAAGTTTCACTTTCCTGGAAGGAGCAGTTTTTCTTCTTCTGCAATGGCACCATGGCAGTCAGGTGGTCTAAACCCCACCAAAATATGGCAATTCAGCTGCCAGAGCTACAGTAAATTGGGATCAGATT